GAAAGAAACGAAAAAAATGAGAAGCATTCTCTCTACTTGGATGTTCATTTGAGATTCATCATTTTCACTTTTTTAAGTAAAGACAAAATTGACACACTACACAATCATCAAATAAAATCATCCAAAAATTTTCGCGAACATTTGTTTTAATAATGAAAATAATTGTGGTTCCAGAGAACGTGATGCAATCAGTTGCATTCTGACGTCCAAAGTGCATATCTCATTCAATCTTTTAACGCAGAATATTGTTTGCAGCTTTAAATTTAAGCTTGAGATGCTTTCTATTTTTAGTTTTAAAATCACATTAAAATCCATCCAACGATTGATCTTCTATACTGTATTCATTTTCGTGCAAATACATTTTTCTTTTTGTGATATGAATCTCCAACTTCTGGGAAATTTGCACCCAAGATTTCTATCTCACTGAAGCATGAGCTTGTGGTGCACCAACAACTTCTTAAGAGCTAATTCAGCAATTCACGAATGAATTTAACTCTGCAACACATAACCTTTCCTTCTTATTTTACCATGCTGTATTGGAGCACCACACACCCGCTTCAGTAAGCCTTGCACCAGGGTTTTCCAGTCAACATTTTTTAGAAATTCTTGTAGGGCAGCAAGCCCACAAAGAAGATTCTTGGTAGAATCTTCAAAGAGAAGAGAAATCTATATTTTCTTTAAAAAAAAAGAAAGAATTCACAAATACAAGCAAATAATGAGGGACAGATACGATACAAAAATCAGGAGTTTTGAACAATCAGCAAAACTGACACACAACAGAATCTCTCTAGCAAGACCAAACACTTTGAGAGTTCCAAATGTAATGCTAAATCAGTCATTGCAAAAAAGACGAGATTTTGAATTGCACAATTTGCGGCAGCGGGAGCTTCCAAGGAATTTCCCCCTGCCGCATTCCAATTGTTTGGGTTTTACACTTGATTGTAATCGTGCATATTTTACTTGTTTCGTGGGACGTGCCCTCTGTGCCCCACAATTCTATCTCCGAGCAAAAAAGAAACCACTTTTTAGTGACTATAAAGCATAATTTTTCAAAAATAATCGCACCAACATTTGTATTCAGGAGACATGCTTTTTTTCCTGAATAAAACTTATCATCAATTATTTTCATTGCAGTAAGTTGTTCTATTAATCTATTGCAATCAGTCAAAAATCGCCCATTAACATCAATTCTAATGCACACCTAAATTATTAAAATTTTTAAAAATTAAAAATCCATCCATGAAACGCACAATCTTTTTCCTTTTTTCAATTTTGAAGCAAAAAAAGTACTTGGTACAGCTTGAGTAAATAGAATATTGGCTCATATATGTGCCATCACTCTTCTGTGAAGTTGCTGACATGTGAATCCTTCTTGACGATAATGTTTATTATTCTAATTTTTTTTTTTTTTTTTACACCCAACGCCTTTTGCAGCGCATTGTCCGGGGCGCGAGGCCTTCGTCAAAGAAGGTGGCGTTCCTGGTCACAGACGGGTTCTCCAACGGAGAAGACCCGCGTGGAACGGCCAGTCAACTGCGGGAAGCCGGGGTCCAGCTCTTCACTTTCGGCATCCACAACGGGTACACCAGGGAGCTCTTTGAAATGGCCTCGGACCCGAAACCCGTTCACTCCTACATCGCCCGCAGCTTCGAGGAGTTCGAAACCCTCGCCAGACTCGCTCTCCACAAAGGTCTTCCCCCTTCTTTTTTTTGCCCATTTCATTTATTTTCGTCTTCTCTTTCTTCCTTTCTTCTTTTGTTCTATATATGCACCCGCCCCATTGTTCCAGAGCGGAATTAAAACGAATCTGCGCCATCAATTTTCTGGCCGCGACGCAAAATGCGACCCAGTCGAAGAACTTTTTAGAAATATGCGGAGAGAAGAGCATTTCTTCGCAGAATCAGATGGCAGATATTTAAGCAGAACGCATGAACCTCAAGTTTAAATTCCGTGTAATGTTGAATATCATTCCTGAAAATGCAAGCTGCAACTGTCAATATCAGCTGAATTCAAACTCTCTGAGATTTTAGCGACCCTGGCATAAGATTCGGGAAATAGTTTGCTGAAATGGAATTTTTTTCGGATTTATTTTACAAGAGGAAAACGAAGTATTTATTTAAGAAGCATTACAGGAGTTTGTCTCTAGAGTCTCTAGACCTTTTTTATTAATTTTTTGAAATCGTGGTCTCAGCTACCAATCTTTCAATTTTTGGATTTGAAGATTCTAGAAATATTTTGAAATTATTGCTTCTTTGTATATTAAAATTATTTATTTGAGAAAAGTATATGTGCGACGGCTGTTGACGTTTGATATTGAATTTTTGCTTCAGATGACAATCTCAGTGGAATTTACAACTTTTAGATTCTAAAAACCCAGGCAGAATATTTTGTAAATATGTTAAGAAATCAATTTATCACAGAGCCCAAAGCTGATACTTTTCTATAATGGCATATGAAACGTAAGATCAATATTTTCTCTCCTAATGTTGGATGCAGTATTAATTTTGAATCTGAGCCTCAACTGCTAATGTCAGCTGATTTCCAGGGATTTGAGATTCTTAGATGGAA